GGACAGGTAGATGCGTGTGCAGGTGAGTGGATGACTTTACAGAGGTAGCTGTAATAGGGTACTTACACCCAAGAACCCCTGAGTTTCCTGACCCTCTCCCTGACACATCCCCCACTTTGCCAGGTGTGAGGCGTGTCAGGCTAGATTGATGAAAGTTCTACTTTGCTGCTAACAACACAATACCACAGAGCGGGTGATTTATAAGGCAAAGAGGTTTGTTTCAGCTCACGTTCTGGCCTGTGGTCCAGGACCCACGTCTGGTGATGACCTCCTTGCTGGCAGAGTCCAGGTGGGGAGAAGCAGAGGGTCTTGGGATTTGTGCGCTCTCTCTCCCTCTCTCATAGAACGTCACCAGAACTCCATAATGAGAGTCTTCCCTAGTGACCTAATCCTAGTCACTCCTCAAAGGCCCACCTCTGGACACCTCTAAATGCCATGGTGGCTGGTGATTCCGCCTTCTTCCTACCTCCCACTGGGGAGGACGTGGTTCTGAAGTGGACGCTCCCATTGGACCACAGCGCTGCACATCGCAGTTTGCCCTGTGAGGCCACTTGCTCCTGCTGAGTGTGGACAGCACCGCTCCCTCTGAGGTGCCCCGTCTGGAGGTGAAGTCTGCGTGAGCAGAGAATTTCAGGACTGAAGAGGCTCAAGGAGGCCGGCCTGGAGCTGCTCTGCCTCCCCCACCCCAGGCTCTAGGAAGGGGCCCTGGAGATACGGAAGAGCTTAGCAGGTCAGGCTGGAGAAACAGGCTGGGACCAACTCACCCAAACATGGGCACGGGGGCCATTGCCACAGCCCCGAGCGGAGGAGTCCCCTCTGCAAGGCTGCAGCCAAACAGGGCGCCCCTGGGCAGGTCCATGCCCTGGAGCGGGCACACCATGGCATCTCTGGAAACTTCCACACACCTTCCCCCACCCCAGGGTGAAGGTGCAGGTTAGAGCCAGATGGCACATTAGGCCTAAGTACTGGAAGCCACTGTGGGCCACTAGGGGAAGGGAGGTGACTAGCTCAGCTCTGCC